AGAGCCTTATTTCCCCAACGAAAGTCATTACAAAATACCGCGCAAAATGTTGAACTTATTCTATAAGAAATGAAATTTAACACTGGTATGAGCATTCAAATTAGATTCACTATATTAGACAACCACATATAAATAAAACATATAACAGTATGAATTCAATCGAAATTGCGCATTTTAGTGTTGAAAGTCTAAATACGACTTTGTAATTATGAGATTGAAAAAGACAATGGTGCTTTTATCTGGAATGATGACGAAGAGAAGAAGAGGATGCCCGAAACGAAGCGAACGAGAGCCTCATTTCCCCGACGAAAGTCACTATTAGATAACGCACACTGATTTGATTTAATCTAAGAAAAGCAATTCGACATTAATATGCGAATTTGAATTATATTCATACAATTTTATTGCCTAGTCCGAAGCAATGTTTCTTAATATTAAATGAGTACAGTTGGCTGCAAGTGCATTTATCCTCGACTCGCTTCTGCCATAAGGAGTTGAGGGAGCAAAACACTCTCAGGTAACCGTACCTCGATTTACTCATCATCGGACATGGGTGATAAAGTAGAATCGGATCGCTCGTTGGTTCGCTCTCCACCTGTCTCTTATACACATCTAGATGTGTATAAGAGACAGGTATTACATTAGGAGTGGCAAGCACTAGTATTACATTAGGAGTGGCAAGCACGAGTATTACATTAGGAGTGGCAAGCACTAGTATTACATTAGGAGTGGCAAGCAGGAGTATTAAATCTTACAAATATTTTGTTTGTTTAAGTTATAATTAGGCATAACGAATATCTTGAATGATGTAGAGTAACATTGTATAGTTTCATTGTAATGAAGTTTGTACAATCTTCAGCGCACTGTATTGAAGTTTGTACAATCTTCAGCGCTCTGTATTGAAGTTTCTACAATATTCAGCGCTCTGTACTACTTCTTGTATTAACAGAGGCGGGAGTGGTGGGTTTCCTCGAATACAATATACTTCTTGAGTTTGCACAATATACAATATACTGGTATATATATAAGTATATTGTATATTGTGTAGGTCTACAATATACAATATACCTGTATACTTCTTGTATTAACAGAGGCGGGAGTGGTGGGGCGGTGTGGTCGCTGTCACGGCAAGCCTCTCTACTCCCTCTTCGTGGGGTACGAGAGCGAGGAGAACTGCCCACCTCATACCCAGGTACTGCTGGGGGGCGGGTGGGGTAATGATGGGGGATATGTGGGGTACATATGGGGGACGGGTGGGTGAAGGGCTGGGTGGGGTAATGGTGAGGGATGGGTGGGGTAATGATGGGGGACGGGTGGGGTGATGATGGGGGACGGGTGGGGTAATGGTGGGGCTGTCTCTTATACACATCTAGATGTGTATAAGAGACAGCTTTAGAGCCACAAGATTTCATTCATAAGTAGTAAAATTAAAATCTTGCCTCTTCAAATGCCTTCCCATGGTTTTTAAGCAAAAAAATTGCCTCTAATTTGGCAGAATGCCTAAAATAACAATTTAAAAATAATTANTGTACGTCGCTATACGTGTACGTCGCTATACGTGTACGTCGCTATACGTGTACGTCGCTATACGTGCACGTCGCTATACGTGCACGTCGCTATACGTGTACGTCGCTATACGTGCACGTCGCTATACCTGCACGTCGCTATACATGTACGTCACTATACGCGTACGTCGCTATACGTGTACGTCGCTATACGTGTACGTCACTAAACGTGCACGTCGCTATACTTGTACGTCGCTATAAGTGTACGTGCAACATTGTAATTAGTATATAGTGTCGCTATACGTGTACGTCGCTATACATGTACGTCGCTATACGTGTACGTCGCTATACATGTACGTCGCTATACGTGTACGTCGCTATACATGTACGTCGCTATACGTGTACGTCGCTATACGTGTACGTCGCTATACGTGTGCGTCGCTATACGTGTACGTCGCTATACGTGTACGTCGCTATACATGTACGTCGCTACACATGCACGTCGCTATACGTGCACGTCGCTATACGTGTACGTCGCTATACATGTACGTCGCTATACGTGTAGGTCGCTATACATGTACGTTGCTATACATGTACGTCGCTATACATGTACGTCGCTGTACGTGTACGTCGCTATACGTGTACGTGCCGTGCAGACGTACCCACCGACGTCGCTGCACGTGGCGTGCCTGCTGAGCGACCCGTGCCCGTACCTGCGGCAGCTTCTGACCAGCGGCTACTGCCCCAACTACCCCAACCTGCTGGGACAGACTCCCCTGCACTCCCTGCTCATGGGTGAGGGGTGACTCTATAATATTAGTGTGGGTGATGTGTGTGGTGATGATGAACCACATGCCATAATATGATAGTTGTGGGTGATATGTGAGTAATTATATATTTGTTGATATATAATTCAGGTCGTTATGGCATTAGGAAGTGCAGTTGTGGCGCTGATTTTTTTTTAATGAACGTCATGCACCGTATTGATACTTGATTACCTATTAGTTGTAAAAATTTATCAATGCTCAAAACTAATTGCTAACACAAAACGGGAAATGTGTTTCAAAAACAAATGTCAGATTCACTGAATGAATTTCCTCTTGAAAACGAATAGTTATATATTTTTATTAATTATTTAATATTAATATAATTAATAATTATATTGACAACTATATAATAATGTATGTCATTATAAAATGTCGTAATATTGCCCCAGGGGATGTTCGTTGTGAACAACTGGCAGATTCACTGTACGAATTTCCTCTTGAAAACGAATCGTTATATATTTTTATTCACCGTATTTTATATAACACTATATATTTTATATATTTAATGTATAAAATATAACACTATTGCCCCAGGGGATGTTCGGGGCTCTGGGTTCCTGGAGGCGCTGACGCTGCTGCTGGAGGCCGGCGCGTCGCCGCAGGGCCGGGACACCGCCGGCGCCACGCCGCTGCTCTACCTGAAGCTCCTGCTCAGAGAGGGACTTTACGGCCCCGCCGCGGCTGCTGCCCAGCGCCTCCTGGACGCCGGTGCGGAGGTTGATGCTGCTAATGACCAGGTGATAGGAGACGGGTGACGGATGTCAAGACTTCAACTTCAAGCATTAGAAAAAATAAGTGAACAAATGAAGAAATCAGATGCATCTATGAACATCGAAAAAATTCACACTTTGCGAAATCAATTTAGATCAGAGATGAAAAGAAAGAAAGATACCCTGAAATCTGGAGCAGGTGCCGAGGATTCATTTACGCCGCGGTTGTGGTTATGTTTTGCGTTTCATAACTGCTATTAGGTATATAGATAGCCGAAAACTTTTGAATTCAATCCATCTTTTTCGGATTCAATCCAAAATCTTCAAGTTCCTCGTTGGCACGATCCATCTTCAAAGGCCAACAAGTAACTGAAATGTCGCGCGCGGCATAGTGGTCGCAGCGATAGTCGTGAGTCTTGATCCCAGCACATGCGCGTAGTCTGAACGCACACGCCAGTTTTGAGGCCCAGCCATGTGGCTTATTGGTCTCAGTCCAGTCTCGACCCTTCCGAATCAGTCCCGTAGTGTAAACGGGCCTTGACGGCTGGTGGGTGGTGACATGTGACGAGTGTTGGTGGTTGGTGACGGGTGTTGACACGCGGTGCATTAATCTACAGCGTCTGCTGCTCCTGCAGACATCTTACGTTTAATCAACGATGAATTTGACGTTTCGTGTGTGTTGTTTCGTTGAATCAACGTTAATTAAACGATGTTCTAACATAATTTGCTTAGTGATGCCTCGTGTATAAATCAACAGTTTTTTTTTCCAAATATCATTTATTACCATCGGCAATGGCATAAAATCACAATAAATCCACGGTGTTTGCTGCCAATATTTCATTAATTATTTTCTACATGTATATTGTTTCAATGCTCCAGTGAGTACATAATTTGTAGTTTTTTGCCCATTAACTTTTATTTCATTGTGGCCTGCAAAGCCTTCAATTGCTGCATGAATAATGAGAAGTTAGTCGTCATAAGGGCAGACATAGACATACTGTGAGAGTTGCATAGCATGTCTGAAATACCATGTCTGCTGTACACACATCAGTGCTTATACGCCTCACAAAATTCTCGTATAGGCTGGTTATGTCACTTATATTTGTTTACACGTTTTCAATCACAGTTAAATGTTGACCAAGAATTATTACTTTGTTTGAGCTAGCAACGCTGTAAAAGTTCAGGGCTCAGAAATACATTTATCATACATTTTTAAGAACGAATTTGGTCTGTTATTAAGAATTTGTTGCGTTATTATTTTCGTTGATGTACAAATCGAATTATATTGAATAATATATTTTTATTTTACCGAGCGTAGACGAAAGTAAAATTCTCTTCTCGTTTGATACTAAAATTAAGAGGTTTTGGTATTGCATATACTAAGAGAATATGAAAATTTTTCCATATAGTGATACAATTTTTGGGTACCTATACATTGACCCAGTTAAAACCGTCAAAAGGGCGTATCAGCGCTACTTTCAGGAAGTGTTTCACTATTTTGACAATAAGACCTGTTCATTTTTTACCACGTTTTTCTTAGCTCGCTTTCGTGTCTGTCTGTGATGATCAAATCTTGCAATCGATATTTCACCAACTTTCCCGCTAGCTAGCGCTCTGAAACTTTTAGGGAAGCTCAGCTACCGATAACAATACAATAATCAATAATTTGTTGCACGTTTCCAGGCGTATATATTACCGAACCTTTCTTTTTACAGCCACGCACCCAGATAAATACGGGAAAAACAATGTATCCTCGCGAATACAATTTTCTACAGAACTTTGAAAAGAATTTTCTTTTGTGCATATGCGTGGCCAACTGAAATGAAATGAATATTATGTAGGATGGTTGACCTTTTTGCAGTAGTTATAAACTCTAAAGGAACTCACAAGCAGGGGTTGGGAACCTTTATTAAGGCATGCCTAAATGAAGATGCGCCCCACGTTTTTCGTTTTAGATGTTGTAAAATATTTTAACTGAAATACAAAAGACCAAGAGAATGAAAGCAAACAGAGATCAGAAGCTGCCGAAAAATTATTTTCTATTTTTGAGTCCACATGAAAAACGTGGTCTTTAAAAATTTTTTTTATACATTTTATATGTGTGTATAAAGCAGTCTCCATCGCACGGCTGTCACGTGGCCAGCAGCCCTGGCGTCACGTGGCCGACCGCGCGACCTCGTGGAAAATTTTATAGAAATTTTGATTTTCTTTAGAAATTGAGCCGTTGATTTTCTTTAGAAATTAAGCCGTTGATTTTCTTTAGAAATTAAGCCGTTGATTTTTTTTAGAAATTAAGCCGTTGATTTTCTTTAGAAATTAAGTCGTTGATTTTCTTTAGAAATTAAGTCGTTAAGTCGTAGAAATTAAGTTGTTAAATTAAGTCGTTGATGCTTTGATGGCTAATTGAGATGCTAAATATTATTAGCCCAATGCGATTGTATCGTGAAATTATTAATGTTGCTGTTCATAAAATTTAATATGATTAATTATGGTACACTGTTAGAAAAATTCCCGTTAACGGTATTACCGGCGTTTCAGTGGCCGGTCGGCACGTAAAAGAAACACCGTGTCGCCGTTTTTATTCTAATTTAACACTAGAAATCCGTAAAACATCTGATAAAAACGGCGAAAGTTTATTTTCACGGGGCGACCGGCCACTAGAACGCCAGTGGGAACGTTTTTTCACCGTTTTTTCTAACAGTGTAATAATAAAATTATATTCAATTATTAATTAAAAAGAATTCGTGCAGTATTATCGTATCCTGACGATCACAGTAATAATTTATTCATTATCATTATTGTACTTCAAGGTAACTCATAATTACAGACGAAGAGCATCTTTTTTAGCAGAAAAAAACTATCGTGAAAATAATCTAATCCGAGAACTGTATTGTTCCCATGCAGTCTTCGCAACGACATTAATGTTCCCTTCAACGATACTATTTACGAAAACTCGGGAGCTTTCAAAAGCTGCTTTCATAATAAGAAAGTAATATGGATTTGTTAAGTCTATTTTCTTCTATAATTTAATTTATATTATTTATTTCTGTTCATACGCGCCATGGCAGTAAATATAACGTGCCACCGCCGCTACCTCTTCGGCCGTACGAGCTTCTTTTGTACTCAATTTATGACGATGTAGGAATTATGCTGAAGTAGGAAAGATGCTGAAGTAGGAATGATGCTGAAGTAGGTATTATGCTGAAGTAGGAATTATTCTCAAGTATAAGAAGTAGGAACAATATGCTTAAGCAGGAATTATTGCTCTGCAAACTCTTGGCGTAATTAACTATTCATAAATGCTAAATAATTTTTAAAAATACTTGAGTTTGATACTGTATTTATTCTTCTGGGATGACGTTAATTTAACAAGAAAAATTCGCATAACGGGACTATTAATTTGACTTCAAAATCGCAAATAAAAATGAATGCCGGATTTATGGAACGACTTTTGACTCGAGCTCGCAACATTTGCCAAGTTCTGGGCCCATAATTTCAAAAAAAGTTAAGAGATCGTAAGTTCATCAGCCAATCATTGACGGGCTTTCAAGCAAAATCCACCAATCATAGACAAGAAAATAGAGCGTAAGTACTTACGTTCACTTAGCGAGTTTTGAAAGTATGGCCCCTGAATTTTTAGGCCACATTCAGAAATTCTATTCTAAATTTTCCTTTATTATATACTGAGCAGAAACTACATTTTTTAGTACTCTTCGAGGATCTAAAAGTTTGTCTAGTTTCCGTATTGAAGAAAAAAAATAATAAAATAGTTCATCTTGAAGTAGATCTAGTTTATCTCAATAAAAATCATCGGTGCGTAGGCGTTTGTTTTCCTTGTACCAACATAACTCGGTTAGCATAGCACGAAACGAAGGCTAATTCAACAAAATTAATTTCTTATCTGAATATATCATCTGTGACGTTGATGTTTCTGTTGACCCCGCATTCTTCCCTCGCTCAACAAAATTGTGATACGCTCGAAGAAATTAGTGGCGATTTGTCTAAAAAGCGATGCACTTTCTACCCTTTTGTGGGTCATCCCTAACTCAGTTTGGCCTGGCAAAAGGACGTATCAGTGCTACGTGTATAAAGTGTAGCACTATTTAGACAATAATCAAGTGATTTTTTTTGAGTGTAGGTGCGTCGGGCTAACTGCACTTGTCTGTATTTATTTGGCGTGTCTTAATTGGAAGAAAAATTCCTGTTTTCACTCCAACTTCAGAGTTAATATTGAAGCTTTACGTGGAGTGAAAGCTTTTAATGTTAAAGCTATATAAAGAAAACTACTGTCAAGTAGGTCAGGGAACGTCTTTTTTCTCCTCGTGTTTGATTTTTCAGTCATCTAGGCTAAAAATATTAATAAAATGTAACCAATTTTCTAAATATTGTGAAGTTAATGAGTCTCTCTCGTGTGAGATGAGCTAGCGCAAGTAGATCTCGTGGGCCAGCTGTGTACTGCTTGTATGATCCAGCTGTGCCCTGTGTAATGTTTGTGTGGTCCAGCCGTGCCCTGTGTAATGTTTGTGTGATCCAGCTGTGCCCTGTGTAATGTTTGTGTGATCCAGCGGTGCCCTGTGTAATGTTTGTGTGATCCAGCTTTTGCTCGCGTAATGTTTGTGTGATCCAGCTGTGTCCTGTGTAATGTTTCTGTGATCCAGCTGTGCCCGGTGTGATGTTTGTGTGATCATGTATTTTTATCTTACAAGTTGTATTATATAAATGATTTATCATTCCTTCTGTCTCTGCTTAGATCTTATATACTTAGTGTCGCAAATAGCTTAGCTTGTGTTACCGGCACCAATTAAGTAACCAAATTCAGGTTTATTATTTGAACGTAAACTGAAATGCACAATAAAATTCATGTTAGATATCTAATCATTTGTATATTTTGTGTTAACAGGGTCGCACACTGCTGATAAACCGCTAAGGGTTTATTTGATTAATCATTTTAGGGTTTATTTGACTAATCTTATCTTATCTTATCTTATAATCTTATCTTATCTTAGTGTTTATTTGACTAATCATTTGTATATTTTGTGTTAACAGGGTCGCACACTGCTAAGCTACAGTCTGTGTTGCGGGGACCGTTCGCTCGCCCTGACGCGGCTGCTCCTCAACCACGGCGCTGACATCTGGGGCAACCCGCACCACGACTGGGACCACTCGGCCTTCCTCTACCTCTTCAAGGTGAACCGTGGTGCTGCAGTGTGAACCATATATTGATAATTTTAACGATATATGAACCATATAGTTGGGACCACTCGGCCTTCCTCTACCTCTTCAAGGTGAACCGTGGTGCTGCTGTGTGAACCATGTATTGATAATTTTAACTTTATATGAACCATATATTTCCTCTAACTCTTCAAGGTGAACCGTGGTGCTGCAGTGTGAACCATACATTGATAATTTTAACAATATGTGAATGTGAAATGTGAACCAAATATTTGGGACCACTCGGCCTTCCTCTACCTCTTCAAGGTGAACCGTGGTGCTGCAGTGTGAACCTTGTATTGATAATTTAACTTTAACTAAATGTGAACCATACATTGATAATTTTAACAAAATGTGAATGTGAAATATGAACCATATAGTTGGGACCACTCGGCCTTCCTCTACCTCTTCAAGGTGAACCGTGGTGCTGCAGTGTGAACCTTGGATTGATGATTATAACGATATATGAACCATATATTTCCTCTACTTCTTCAAGGTGAACCGTGCTGCTGCTGTGTGAACCATATATTGATAATTTTAACGATATATGAACCATATAGTTGGGACCACTCGGCCTTCCTCTACCTCTTCAAGGTGAACCGTGGTGCTGCTGTGTGAACCATGTATTGATAATTTTAACTTTATATGAACCATATATTTCCTCTAACTCTTCAAGGTGAACCGTGGTGCTGCAGTGTGAACCATACATTGATAATTTTAACAATATGTGAATGTGAAATGTGAACCAAATATTTGGGACCACTCGGCCTTCCTCTACCTCTTCAAGGTGAACCGTGGTGCTGCAGTGTGAACCTTGTATTGATAATTTAACTTTAACTAAATGTGAACCATACATTGATAATTTTAACAAAATGTGAATGTGAAATGTGAACCATATATTTGGGACCACTCGGCCTTCCTCTACCTCTTCAAGGTGAACCGCGCTGCTGCAGGGTGAACTTTATAATTTTATAATTAATAATTTTAACGAAATTTGAACCATATAGTTGTTATCGATAAAGAAACATAAACAAAATGTGCAGGGTGAACCATATATTGATAATTTTAACAAAATACGAAAATTAAAACAACATACATAATACGTTGAAATGTAAATTAATGAAAAATAAAAACCTTATAAAATGAAGATTTTATAAGGTTAACATACATAATACTTTGAAATGTAAATTAATTAAAAATGAAAACCTATAAAATGTAGATTTTGCAAGGTTAACATACATAATACGTTGAAATGTAAATTAAATAAAAATATAAACCTTATAAAATGAAGATTTTATAAGGTTAACATGCATAATACGTTGAAATGTAAATTAATGAAAAATAAACCTTATAAAATAAAGATTTTATTCCATATTTGCCCTACAGACAGCGATGTTGTGTCGCTCGGTCGCTCCGCTGACGGCGACGCTGTCGCTGATTGGTCGTCTTATGAGCGGCCAACCGCGCCGCATGCGCCTCCACCTGCAGCGCAACGTCACGCGCCACGGCCGCTGCCACGCGGTCAGTGCCACCAGATGCCACTTGAGTGGCACCGCCACTTGAGTGGCACCGCCGCTTGAGTGGCACCGCCGCTTGAGTGGCACCGCCACTTGAGTGGCACCGCTGCTTGAGTGGCACCGCCACTTGAGTGGCACCGCCACTTGAGTGGCACCGCCGCTTGAGTGACACCGCCGCTTGAGTGGCACCGCTGCTTGGGTGGCACCGCCACTTGAGTGGCACTGCCACTTGAGTGGCACCGCCACTTGAGTGGCACTGCCACTTGAGTGGCACCGCCACTTGAGTGGCACTGCCGCTTGAGTGGCACCACCGCTTGAGTGGCACCGCCACTTGAGTGGCACTGCCGCTTGAGTGGAACCGCCGCTTGCTTAGAGGCGACACTTAATAACAAACAATATCTAAATAACGTATTACACTATCTAAATAACGTACTACAATATCTAAATAACGTATTTAATCATAAACAATATCTATTTACTGACAATATATGGTGACTGACTAAATCAGCTTAATGACTGCGTGTGTTTATTGCCTACTTATTACTTATTCTTCATAAATTCACTTAGTTCAAATGTGATAAACGTTTTTGATCTATTATTTGTTTTTAAAATTTTATTTCAACTGTTCATTTGTTGCTAGTAAAAATATATGATCGGATTGCTTTTATCACCTTGACATGAAAGGTCGACTTTCATAAATGCTATTGGGAACTTTTGTCGCCTCCGTTCTCACTTTAATTCCTTTGAATACTAAATAAATTATTCAAGTTGAGCGTTTATAAATTCTCTTTTATGTTAATGCGTCGTTGGAATCTTTTGCTTTCGCTGAGGTAGACATTTTTCTTAACAATTCAAAGAAGAAAATTCATTGAATGAATAAAATAAATTGAATGAATTCATATTCATTCATTTATTTATAACAATTCAATACATAATAAATGAATGAATGAATAATAAAAATAATTAATGTCTTGCATCTTCATCATTGAAATCTTTTGTTTTTGACGAGGTAAAAATTTTTCTTAACAATTCAAAGAATAAAAGCTAATTAATAAATAATTTCTTACATCTTCATCATTGAAATCTTTTGTTTTTGACGAAGTAGAAATTTTTCTTAACAATTCAAAGAAGAAAAGCGTTAATTTATCACATCTTCACTAACGACCTCCCGCTGGTGCAGGTGCTGTCGGGGGTGTCCACGGAGCTCGTGCGCTTCATGGAGCCTTACTACAAGCGCCCTCAGCCCCTGGGTGCCCTCGCAGCCCTCGCCATCCGAGGGGCGCTTCCCTCCACCTCCTCTGTTGCCGCCTCCGTCGCCAGGTTGCCGTTGCCACACAAACTGCAGCGGCAACTTGCGCTGCTCGAGTAACTGTTGACGTTACTGGCAACCGCGTTACCGGCAGTCTGCGTTACCGGCAACCGCGTTACCGGCAGTCGGCGTTACTGACAACCCGCGTTACTGGCAGTTTGCATTACCGGCAGTCCGCGTTACCGGCAGTCTGCGTTACCGGCAACCCGTGTTACCGGCAACCCGCGTTACCGGCAACCGCGTTACCGTGCAGTCTGCGTTGCCGGCAGTCTGCGTTACCGGCAACCCGCGTTACCGGCAGTCCGCGTTACCGGCAGTCCGCGTTACCGGCAGTCTGCGTTACCGGCAGTCTGCGTTACCGGCAGTCCGCGTTACCGGCAGTCTGCGTTACCGGCAGTCTGCGTTACCGGCATACCGCGTTACCGGCAGTCAGCGTAACTGGCAGGTCTCCTACAGGTGAACGTGAAATTGTGTCGGAAATGAAAATTGGCCGGAAATTTATTGAAAAAATTTACATATGGTATGAGAAAAAAGGTTGAGCGTGGGGCTATGTTAAATAGAAATTCCCGCAATTTTATTGTTGCAAAACAAAGTTAGGTACTTGCGACAGTATTACAAAATGGCGAACGAAAGGATTAGATATAAAGTAATGGAAGTAATAGTGTCTGGCGGCCTTTTTGAGCGCGACCTTACTAATAAATAGTTCCTGAGGACAGGGATTCGTTTACTAAGTGCAGGGATAAAGGATAAAGGGATAAGGGATAAAGGAGGGATAAGTAAGACACTTCTTTCTATAAAACTCATCTCGATACGGGGTGGCAATACACGTGAGTAACGGTTGACAATCTACGTATTCAATCGCGTAACGCAGAATATTTTAATATCCAATGTCAGAAATATTGAAGAAGCCACGTGACGGTATGCAGCAATTCGAAAGTCGAAACAATACGTTTACTTTTTACTTGCAACCACTGCTTTTTTTTCTATTCCAAATGTTATAATTGTGAATGTTGTCTGCTCTACGTGGGTTGTGGAAAGTAAAAGACCTTCTCACACTTGCAGTATGTCTTGCATCTTGAAGAAAATCATATCATGTTAACATTTTTTTATGAGTTAACCGTTGGTTTTCAGTTTTCGCGAACCCAAACCAAACTACAGATTCTCTGAGCTCATTGAGACCTCTTTAATTAATAACTTACGGTCTGTTACCGGAAAACATAGTCCGGTTGACACGTGGCCGGTCATAACTGTCTTTCAATAAGCCAGTGCTCTTAAATGTCCTTTTTGTTATCTCAAAATTAGAGCAAAAATCTCAGAAAGATATTCGAAAAGACGTAACTTTACTAGCACAGTTTATTCATTCTTTTGTTTCAATTCGTTAGATCGAAAACTACTTACATTTTTTGTAATTTGTTCACCGTTAAACTACAATAGTTGGTACAAATTTCCGTTTATTTTGGTTGATGATTCTGCGCAATGTTCGTTTCAAGTATAACAAAATTTCGTCTCAACGGAACAACTTGCTTTGTATATTTAGTGAAGGAAGCAAGCAAATGCCGACGAGGCCTGTCCAGTATAGCTTAATAACTTCCTGCGTGATTCTCGCGATTTAATAAGTCATGTTATGCGATCAACATTCAATATGTTTATGTTCTCATGTTCGTCGTGTTAATGAGCGTCGAGTGATTTCGTGTTTATGTTCTCATGTTCGTCATGTTGATGAGCGTCGAGTGATTTCGTATGCCATGTTGTGCGAGTGCCAGCGTTCGAACAAACCAAGCATTTGTCAACTTGCAGATTTTGTTACGATGGTCACATAAAAGTAACTATTACATTACCGGAGATCTATTAAACTATTTTTATTGTTTCATTTTGAACGTGTGAAGGTAGCGCGACGTGAGCTTGGATAAATGGATGCGTTATCTGTAACGAACGAGTAGTGCATGATTGAGGCAATTATGGTGCGTTAACGTGCGTTTTTCGCAACCTGATCGTTCTGAAATTTTATGAGAAAGAAGCCTATTGTTGACGATATGTGTGGAGACAACACTATTTTAATTCACTGGTGATGTAAATTTTTGTTTGTACAGAGAGGAACGGTCTTCAGATGCAGACCGTGACGCACTGACCTTAGTACTTTAGTTTGAATTTGTTGTTATTGTTGTTCTGTTCATGAGATTTAATTTCTTAGACTGGCGCATCAATTTTAGAAATTGAGCTCTCGGGTTTCGAATCTTTTGACCTTATCTCTGTAATTTGTGAGAAAAATAAATTTCTTAACAAACCGCTTCTTGACTTCACGCTTTCGCGTTGATTGATGTACAGCAGGATAAGGTTAAGTTCGGAGCCAGGATTGCCAGATAACTTTTTCCGGTCAAATGCGACGATTTGGCCATTTTTTAAAGCACACAGGCCAACGAGGACCACGGAACTGCATTTCACTAATGTATTTTTCGATGTATAATTATTTAAATAGTGGCCGTTTTTAGCCTCTTTAGTTGGCTTATTTTGCCGTTATCACCTGCCAGCAAATGCCAATGGCAGCGCTAGTTAGGACTTAACCAACCAGACCACTTGACCAGAACTGGAACAGCCCGATTAATTTTGTACAAAATACTTACTACAAAGGGCTTCGCTTTTAACATCAGTATACACAAGAAACCAGTATCAAAAGATATATATATATGAAAATATTTATCGTACATCAAGGATACATAATTTTTTGTATAATTGGCCAGATAAGAAAGAAAAAACTCTTGTTCTAACATTTACTCAGAAATTTCTAAGGTACAAAAGTATACAATTAATAGATGGCACTACAGGCCTTCTGCAGGTCGCACGATTTGACCTGCGCGGCTCATCAATGAAAAATATTTATTTTTCATTAATTATCTTCGGAGACACGCATTATCTTATCTTCGGAGACACGCACTGCACAATTCCAGCAAACAAATAATTATGAAGCATGTAATTAATTATCAAACAATTAATAATCATTTTACAATATAACCAGCAAACCTTGAAGATAACTGTTCATTGGCTAACCAAATTATCAATTCTAAGTTGATTAGAACTTCAGGTAAAGTTTATTACTCGAACCAGTTTACTGCTCACTGTATAAGCGATAACTTTACGAGCGCTATGGGGAGAATCGAACGGAAGCAGCAAAATAAAAAGAAAATGCAACACTGAAAATTACTCCTTTCGAATATAAATGCAATTTTATAATCGTCAAGGATGAACCTTAAAAAGAATCATGTTGGATCCTGCAAGGATGCGCACGCCAATCAAGCACTAACTACAATAAACTTCATATTATCCTTTCTAGGCTCCTAAAATGTCTGTACTCAGCATACCCTGATGATTCACAGCTGATTATCATTATTATCATCTATTATAATCAATTCACTCGTAAATAGCTCCATTAGGTACAAAAATATACATCTATTGGAAGGGAATTTGCAGAAGTCAGGTAACAGTATCACCAAATCAGCGTATACTTTGCTCGAACATCTCAACCTCACCTCATGAATTGCTTGCTTGAATAATACAATACGTTACTATACGAGGAATTGCTTACTTGACTTGCCCAATTCTCAACTAAACAAATGAAAAGAATTGATTAATAGATTTGTCTGAAACGTTTCTCCAACATTGCAAACTTAAGGACAAAAAATATAACTCAGTTCTCACTGCAGTGAGTGACAGAGAGCGCATTTTCTCGTCGACGAAAACGTGAAGTCACGGACGGACAGACAGACGAGCGGACGGACATGGCAAGCACAATAGTGCATTTTTTCCATAAATGAGAAAGTGCGCTAAAAAGCTATGAGTTATTACGGGTTGACCGCGCCAGACTGCCTGGTGAAACTCGAGCTCGTCAGCCGGGCTGGTTAGCATTTCGCTACAACAACCAAGTTATGGCACAAACAAAACAAAATACGATGGGTTGAAAATAGTCATGCCTGTATTTTGGGCTTTGACAGCCATAATTTAATACATCATTGCAAGGAAACCATAATTTTTTAGTGAATGAAAAGAGGTCGTGACCGAAAAACGAAAAATTTCATTCCGTGAGCAGCGTTTTCTACTGAACCATTCATGGAACCAGAAGCATGACTATGACATAAGGAACATGCATGTCATACGACAATGACATAGCATATGACAGTGGCATAAAAATCATGCCGATACTGTGGCCGGTGAGTCGAGATCTTCGAGCAAAGTTAACGTCATGAACCTTATGAGCAGTAGGTTATATTGGTTAGTTACTAGTGTTCAGTTACAATCATTTCAATAGTATCCCTAAAATATATTCTACTGGCGGATCTACAATCTGCTTGCATGATGCTGCATTAATAAGTATAAAAATACAATCATTATATATGGCAGGATATTCAGCAAGGCTTGCGAAGTCATCATGAAACAGCCCACCGCTCGAGAGTTCAGGAAAAAGGCAGTTATTTGAAAAGCATACGAACCTAAGATCTAATTTCTAATTAATCCAATTATAAGTAAGCCTAATAAATGATGATCCAAATTATTATACAAAAATTGTGTCAATTATTATATTAGAGAGCGTTGAGAATGCTAGGGGTTCAGGAGCAGCACTTTTGTGATAAAAATTATTCTAAAGGAAAACTTGAATTTGTAAGGGAAAGGTTCTTCCTATGATCAGAAAGGCAAATTATTCGACTGAAATTATTCTGCCATCGGCGGCAATGAAAAGAGTTCAACGTGCAAGATAAAAAACGTACCTCAACTATCCTCGTTAGTTTATACCTAACCGCCGAAAAGCGAAAACTTTGCGCAACAAGAAAATCCTCGAACAAATTAATCAAGTAATTAGTAATTTTATTATTACTACACGTTTTGGAGGGACGAATATGGCATCTATAGGAACCAAAGTCAGTAATTCAACGCAAAGAATATGAGTGCCATAGTGAAGTAAACTGCAAAATTCAATTGTCGGACATGAAGATATGCGTTAAGTATGTCGTCTACACACCAGTCGAATGAATATACCTAAACGATAACATGCATCGATGTGAGCTTAACCTGTCAATGCCGAAATACAGTACGATACAAATAACTTAGGTAGGAATAGCATTACTTAGGTATAATAGCAGAAAACTAACTACGGCCGCACGGGCAGTAAAAAAACAATAAGACGTAATGCGAGGCTGGCGTTCCTAACATGCTGAGTAGCTCTAGAACTTGTTGGGGCCATACATTCAAAATTCGCTAAGTGAACGTAAGTACTTACGCTCTATTTTCTTGTCTATGGTTGGTGGATTTTGCTTGAAAGGTCGTCAATGATTGGCTCATGAACTTACGATCTCTTAACTTTTTTTTAAGCATGGCCCCAGTTCTTCAACATGTTCTACAAATCTCTAGAGTTCTACATTAATGCCCTATGATCAAAATACAATGCCAGGTAATACAAGCGTACTTATGTAAGTTATATTAAACTATGATGAAGTTGACCAGTTACACATTACCCCTCACACTCGAAAGTTTAAGATGCTACACGAGAATAAAGGCACATGCAAACCAAGTTTTTCGGGGACCGAAGATAATTATCGGGGACCCCAAAAAATGATTTTGGGGTCCCCGAACATGATTAACATGTTCGGGGACCAAAGATGATTATCGTTTTACAAATATATCGTTTGGAATACTGGCTTAACGAAACGTACTATAGAAAACGAATGAAAATCTGACAAATTTGTGTGATTTAATACGCTTCTTGAAATACGATCGTGGACAAGGATGCATATTGATAAATATTTAGAACTTTCTAAGCGAAGTAATGCCAGAAATCAAAGACGAATATCCCCGATTTAAGCGGGCCCATATTAGAAATAATTCTATAATAACTGGAATTGACCATATTGAATGAGTATGGAATAAATCTCGAGGAATGCATTAACGAATGCCTCGGCTAAGTTCTGCCTAGTGATCTACTTCTAAGTTCATAAGTAAGCTAAAGTTGGCACAAAAGTTACCTTAAATTAAACTGAGCAAATTATGGCCCCTGCAACGAGGAAACTTACACCGACTTCCACTCAGAGAATCCAGAGAGAATTGTTCTAATAGCGATTCACTTTTCACGTTAAGGGTACGCACACGGTGAAAGCAGGTTGTCAGCGTGCTGGTTACCTGCTCAGGCTGGCGCCTGAAACCATAGAATACAGAAGACTATTCGTACAGGTTTTCATTGTGAACACTTACATTATTATCCTATGTTCATTCTTGTGGCAGGTTGGAGCAGGTTGCCCGCGCGGGCAAACCGGCTTTCACTGGGTGCGTACCCTAATGCATGTCATCCGGACCCAGTATGGTCCAGCAACAGAGCATATCAGTTCTACATGCATATAGTTTGTCACTATTTAGACATTAGGATCCATTTCTTTCTCCAAGTGCACTCTCCAGCCAGACAGTTGACCTCGTAGGAATTGCATAGCAGAAATTAGGTCAACATGTCCAGTTTAGGCGGCTATGGCTTATGTGTATGAAGATAAATTTTAGTCTAAGAGGTAAATATAGCTAATGGTATCTTAGGCTAGCGGGGTAAGGCAATATTTCTTTTGGGACGATAAGGCGGTATTTGTACTCATTATATGTCAAGGATCGTTTGGAATATTGTGATATATTCACGATTCACTGAATCGTCATGGTGTGAAATCTGAAAACCGGCCACTCAGCTGCAAAATTCAATTGCTCCAGGAAAAATAGGGTTTCGAAGTGACTCGCTCAAGTAAGTAGCACATTGGCTAGTGGACGTGGTAAGTATCACAATAATTACTTACACTACACTACAGAGCACTGAATCATCAATTTGAAAAAAAATACAAAATTACTCAACTTATGTCTTTAGTATTTTTAAAGAAAATCATAAAATTATACAGAGAGTTGATAGCCGTCAAAATGACAAATTATTTCTAATCCAATTCAAAAATGTCCTTAATTTCCGCTAGAAATCCATTTGATTTTAAAGTGGAATTTAGGATTACCCTGCTAGCTTCTGCAGAAAATCTCTATTTATGGATTAAAACTCTGAGGTAGAAATGCTGGTAAATATATAGTGAATTCAAATGCAAAGCTCGCAAAAAAACCTTCATCGCCAAGGATATCTCCTTGATAAAAGCTGGTACTCGAGCGATTGTTTAGCATCAAGTGTTGCCATTGTGCGATAACAAAATATATGAATATATAAAGACAGCCAAACGTTGTTTTCGGTAACGAATGAGTACCGGAGTTAAATCAGTTGACAGGCACGACAAAACTAAGATGGTGATCAGAACAAGCCAAGCTCGCGAATGAATTATAGAGCAGGCTTGGCATTAGTTCTTTCTACAACAACCATCGTTGAAAATCCGATAAATATTCATGAAAAATGCTGCTCATAAATTATCACTTCACATTGTGCTGAAAGATTTGTTTAAACCGATCTCGTCTAAGAGCTTAACAATAGCAAGATTTCGTAAGCTGGAGACGTGGCTCAAGTAACATTTCCCAAGAGAGAAATGTTAATAGGCAAGGATATGTCCCCAAAATCGATATCCCTAGCCTATACTTAGGTTACAGCATGTAGAATTCATTTGAAATAGATGGTAAGAAAAACGTTCTAGACATCAAAACGGCGGCGATCGATAACGAGCCACTATTGAGGTAAAACAGGCACGGATATCAGGTACCTGCGAGAAGCATACAAGCGTATTCAAATGTTCAGTTGATGGGCTTGAGAACGCACTCTCCGATGTTAGCCATAGCAAGCATCTGAGGTATGACGCTGCTGCTGGTGGACGCAGCATCACTGTTTGTGCTGTCCATGTTGCTGAGGCTGGTGCTACTCGAAAAGACATTAGTGCTGTTAGCGTTGCTGGTCATGAGACTAAGTAATGCAGCACTGCTGCTGTTAGTGCCGTTGCTGATGGCACTCGCGACGTTCACGAGATCACTGAACGAAGAAGAGGTGAACAATGGAGAGGATGACGATGATGTCATCAAAGGCAACGACGATAAGGCAGAAGAAGATGTTGAAGCAATCTTTCTTTTCTTGCTCGGCTGCAAGGAGAGGTTGACGGAACTCGCAGGACGACGGGAGATCTGCTGATGTAGATACGTCTGCTGTTGTTGCTGCAGCAGACGCTGCTGCTGCTGACGACGGGAGATCTGCTGATGTAGATACGTCTGCTGTTGTTGCTGCAGCAGACGCTGCTGCTGCTGCTGTTGCTGCAGGTGTCGTTGCTGAACAACAGCTGCGGCGCTCACAGATGTCTTAGCGCTCATAACGCTGTCAGGAGTGACCGCCTGGGGGTTGGCACGAGCTGTCAAGTTGGCAACACGTTCCCCCAACTGGTTCAGGGAGTCATCCACGGCTCCTGATCCCGCGGCGACGGCGGTAGAAGCCAACTTCAAGACCATCCCAGCCGTCGAAGCTGCCATATTGGCACAGGCCAAATCCCCGTTAGAGATAAACTGCTTCGAGTAATCCTCATTGGTTGGAAGTTCCCCGCCTGGACTCTGCTTGGTCTGATCTCCCTCCTGCAGCCCCACCTCTCCGGAACTGGCACAGTCCTCAGGATTGAGGAGCTGCTTGCGGATCTTGTTGAGTTTCTCGTCGGCCTCGTGACGCTTCAAGTGGTCCTTGAGCTTGTCGCCCCTCGAGAAGTCCTTGCCACAGACGCGGCAGTCGAATGGCTTCTCGCCCGTGTGCATGCGGCGGTGGCGTTTCAGGTGCGACGCGCGAGCGAAGTTCATGTGGCAAAAATCGCAGATGAAGGGACGCTCGCCGGTATGCAGGCGGATGTGGTCACGCAGCCCCGACTGGCTCTTGAACTCCTGTGAACCAAGGCACGTTAGCCAAGGGTTTTGAACGAGTTTAAGGAAGTAAGGTTATAGAAAGAATGGTTATAGACGTTTGAAATAAGATCATAGACACTGACACTCGAAAAAACTTCATGGACCCTTGAAGAGAAATCATAGACACTTGGGGAAAGACCATACTTGAGGAAAGGTCATAGACACTTCAGGAAAGGTCAGAGAACCTTGTATGAAGTTTGTAGACACTTTAATAGAGTTGATACACACTTCAAGAAGGATCATTGAAAATTTAAACAAACGTAAAGAATATGTGGCAAGGAAAAACTGTGAAAAGGTCCGTTCAACTTTGAAAAGATGTTTGTGGAATGTGCAGAAAATAAAGAAAAATAGAAAACCTGAAGTGAAGTATAAGGCGTAAAAACTCTGAACACAGTTTGACAGAACTTGAAATTTCTGATGAAATAAAAATTTTCAAAAAGACAGATACTACTTAAAAACAGGATATTATCACTTGGCAATCCTCCAAAGATTAGAGGACTCAGAATGGAGAAATAACTCAGAATTTGCATTTATGTCATCATGAAAGGCAAGTAAATACACATATAATGACGAGCACCAACCTTCTTACAGAGAGGACACGGCATCGACGCGTACTGAATGGCTTGCTGAAGATAAAAGTTCAAGTCTATTCTACCATCACGACCAATGATGCTACCCAGTGATGCTGGGGCTACATCGTTATTGCTGTAGCCGCTATCACTACCGGCAATGCTAGCAAGTGCAGCAGCTGCCACAGCTGCAGAGTCTGTAGTGCTGCTACAGCTGCTATTACTGCTGCTACATGCAGCGTTGGGACTGCTGCTGTTGTGCTGCGCTGAGAAGCTGTTAGAGGCATCGCTGTTGTTGCCGTTATTTGTTACCGACGAAAAAAGCGAATGTTTCAGGTCAAGAAGATGTGTTTGTTGATGTTCTTGTTGGGTCTCTTCATCGTCTTCTCGTTCACACATGCGCTCCTCTTTGATGGATATTTGCGGCTGCAAGAGATAACTCTAGTGAATGTTTACTCTAATTACTTTCTAATTTTAGGAGAGATTATTGTGATAATACTCTTGCATATTTGGTAACTACGCATTGCGAAGAAATTAATATTCTTGATAATATAGATGTAAAGATATCTTACGTTAACAAGCTTGACTACAAAAAAAATACATAATGAAGAATCTATGAGATGCAAACTGATATTTCTTAGGAAAATTATGAGAGATAAATTTTAAAAAAGAAAGTAAGGTAGGTATTTCAAAAGGAAAAAAAGTAGAAAATTATCTCAGGAGTGAGAAAGACACAAGAACAAATGCAAGAAAAGAACCCAAAGGAAATATTGGTAGGAAAAGTCAAATAAGATCCTCAGTATGTATGAGAAATCAAAGAAGATACAAGATGAGATAAGATCCTCAGTATGAGAAATCAAAGAAGATACAAGATGAGATAAGATCCTCAGTATGAGAAATCAAAGAAGATACGAGATGACGCAGGACTCACGGTGAGCATGGCATCTCTTTGTTCCTCGTCAGCAGCTTCTTGCTTCAGTCGCAGGCAAGTGGCGGCCGTGAGGCTGCGCTGATCTGCGCTGTCCCTGCCCTTAACTGACGTCACATTAGCGTTAACGTCGCCCAGACGTCGTTCCGTTGCCTCCTTATGTCCAATGGACGTCAGTTGTGACGTTTCTTGTTGAGCAAACAGCTGTGCCTGTGACGTGTGTAGCTGTTTCCTTAACAGCTGTTGCTGTGACAACTGCAACTGCTGCTGCGAGAGAACCTTCTGACTGTCTTGCATGGATTTCTGAGGAACTTTGAGACTTTCTTTGGTGAATAACTGAGTATCATGGCCAGAAAACTGCTGCTGTAGAGCTGCTTGCTGGTCTTCATGAATCTGCTGCATGTGGGCATCAGCAGCAAGAGGGGCGTTGGGGGGCTGTGGACCCCCAGATTGTGGGGTTGAGCTGCGTGAGAGGGGCAGGGATGAGGAAGTAACAGTGTCGTCTTCAGACGCGCCTCCATCACCATCGCACCAGGACCCTGCACCTTCACTCGGCTCCGGGGACTCCACCAACTGCACAAACATCCCGTGACTTAGTTCTACGTCAGAAAGAAAATATTCTTATATTTATTATTATTTATAGTTTAACCTCAGATAGGTAATAATAAAATAGATAATATGTAATAAGGAGTAAGGTAATAATAAGATAGGTAATAAGGTAATATATAGATTTTAATATACATTTTTTAATATACGGTATACCGTATATTTTTTGCAATGAAGGGACTTGAATTGCCATAGGTTGACAGGAGCTATAGTGTCCAATATTTAAGGAGGGAGTCAAGTTTAACAAAATTATATTTGTTGGCTAATGTTGAAAATACATAAAAATTTTCTAACATGAAGGAGAATGTTAGATTTTCAATAGGAAGCAAAAAGCTCACTAATATTTATATATTGAATATTTGACAACCTTGGAAGAATATTATACTCTGGAACAAGCATTTAAAAGGATCAAGTTCTTCAGAGAAGCCATGTTCCTTCACCAATACCCTAACACACAGAGATCATTGTCACAGTAGAAACATTAATTTCATTTTAGAAATTTCAATTATTCTCACTGAGGTTGAATCGATGTGAGCAATTCATGCTTTAATTCCTACAATATACTTTACATGTATATGAGCTGTAGCTAAGATTTGATTCATACTTATACCCTTACAATGAACTGTAGTTAAGTTACGGTACTTCTAATAAACTTACTAATAATCTTACATACCGTAATCCTAATAATAATACAATGAACAGTAATTAAGACTGACCCTGTCTCCCTGCTCCAGCCCCAGAACATGGAGGTGCTTGCCAGTATTGAGGAAGGATGAGATGTGAGTTTGTGGCACGTCCACCTGGCCACAGTAGATGAATGACACCAGGTACGTTATGTCTCGTACAGGAATCTCTGGCAGGATTAGTGTTGTGCTGTGGAGGGAGTTTGTCCCTGTTGTTGTACTGGTGCTGCTTGCAGTTATGTCTGATAACAGTTTGGCTGGAAAAATAGTCTTGGTTAACACAATATTACCATTGAAAATTAAGAGACTATTACCATATTACAGTTGACTATTGTTTAGCTGTAAACACAAAAATGTGTGTGTTTTGAAAAACTTATAAAGATTCTTACATGAACATATTAAAAATTACCGTAATAGGTTGCATGTCATTACTTATCAGTAAACACAATGTTTTAGGTTGAAGAAAGTTATAAGCATCTTTTTATGAATATATTAATGATAGATTGCATATAAATAGACCATATTTAACTCACAGAGGTAGGGCGAGCAGAGTGTAGGTTGAAGAAAATTATATATTATTAAAGATAGATTGTGCATGAATCAATTAATAGAATAAATAATTTTGAAAAAATTTATATATTAAATAAATTATATATTAAAAAATTTAAAATTAATTTTTTTACTAATCAAAAATTAAATGAGAAATTCATTGTACATCTGTAAGATTGGAGACACTGGATTCTTTTGAAGTGTTGTCTTTAAAAAGTAATTTTTAAATGTATATTATTTTCATAATAAACTACAAAGAAATTTAAGAAATTTCATCAGTCAATACACCACAAAACAAATTCTACCATCCAAGTCAAAAAAACTAATAACAGCAGGCAAATTCAGTCAGTAATAATTCTGGTAATGCAAAAATAAAATAAAACTGATGTAATAGTGTAAGAAAAAAAAATTATATTAAAGCGACCATAAATAAAAATGACTAAGAAGAATAAAGAAATGATGATTTTGTTATAGAACAATGTTGGCTTTGGATTAAAAATTGGATAATTTCAACTCGGGTAAACTCTAAGTAAAGTAGGTTCAATTTTCACATAATAACCACGAAGCGTTTTCGATCTGGTCAGAAACCTGTGATTAGGTTTTCTTTAGAATATATTTCTATTGGAGGCCGGCGAAATAAGTGCACTGACGCATATAATCCCTAGTATACAATCACGCCATAAACTATTACACATTACATAATTATTCTAGGTAGAGAAGAGGTGCGCGGTCGTGGCATGCTTCTATACGGTATAATTTGTTCCCAGAGGAAGAGGGGGCTTGAACCGATAGCCCTCCAGCCCCTAACCATCTTTGTTTCCCTCCCCCCCTTTTCCCAGCTCCCTCCCCCCTTCTTTATCCTAATAGTCCCATGGGCCCCTGACTCTATTGTCCTTATGCTTATCAAGCAATACGGTAAGCAGGAATTGGCAATCGCAAACAGCGTCAAACACATGTGGGTTAATGCGTAAACGATAAGTTTAGAAAAAAATTGTTCGATTCGAGCGCGTTTTGTATTGCATACAACGAAAAAGCTATGCTAAATAATCATAACCATTTCAGCCTGGTTATATGAAGACAAAGACTAAAAAATATTACGTAAAAATTCATATGTAACAAGTTCGTCACTTTTATTTCTTAATAAACTCAGTCTTGCACCAGAATCACAAAAATGTAAACGGCATCAGTCACGAGATGAGCAGCGCGGACGAGCACGATGCTCTCACTACGACAGCTCGGGAGCAACTGACCAGGGCACGCCGCCGCCCGGGAAAAAGGCAGGCACGAAAAAGCGGTTTGGGGGAGCATCAGCAGCATCATTATTGTTGGGGAGACCCTAACCGAAACAGGAAGGGGATAAAAGGGAGGGGTGTAGGGTGGGTATGAAAGGAGGGGTGTAGGGACAGTATGGAGAGTGCGGGGGAAGGGGGGAAGGGGGAGACGAACAGGGAAGGGGGAAGTGCATGGAGGGAGGTTGCGTTCTGCCATCAGTAGAGATTAGGTAGGGATTGAGTATATCACAGAGCACAGAATTAGAACAAATTTATACATAGGAACAGAGTTTCATTATAGAGTAAATACAACTAGCAATAAATCACCCCACAAAAATTAATTCTAATTGTGACCATGTCATTTTTTCATGGGCATATAATACCCGTTTGATCAGCAATGAGGTAGGGCGAGCAGAGTGTAGGTTGAAGAAAATTATATATTATTAAAGATAGATTGCATATAAATAGACCATATTTAACTCACAGAGGTAGGGTGAGCAGAGTGAGAGGACAGCCTTGTGGGCATTAACCTGACCATCATCACATATGATGGTCAGGTCACTGAAGGCAGCTCTGTCATGCAACTCCGAGAGCATTGCAGTGAATGTGCTGCTGTGCGAGTGCCATCGCAAGTGCAGCTGCGGATCTGCCATCACCATAGCGGCTGCCTGAATATTTTACTCCAAGAGGGTTATCTTTATTGGGACTTGTGATGTTATAATATTCAGGGCAAGAATGCCTTATGTCTTCTCATTACTTCTGGAGTTTGTCTTCACGATTGCAGTCTTCAAACTTTTACATCAAAGATTTTCAGTGAAGTCCTGCTTGTTTTATTAGCAATACACATTTGCATTTGTTTATTCTCGTATACTTATATGTGTGACTTTTTCAGTATCGACTATGTGACAATTTCTTGACTTGGCTTCATTATTTCTGTTTTTGAGTTTTTCAACAAGCACACTATCATTTTTGGAGCAGAACTAATGTGATATCAAAAAGTGCTGTATTTTAAACACAAATGGCTAAAATGGAAGATAAACTCATAAGCCTAATAATATAAGATAATAAGAAGCTTTAATCTCATTAATGCACATATATTTTGTTCAGAAAGAAGAATTGGAAAATTAATGAAGAAAAAAATAAAAAAGTGACACTGTACACATGAACCTAAAAATCAGTGCCAGGAAATGTTACTTTTATCTAAAGAAGGATGAGAGGAACCTGTGAAGTAAAGGATTTCCAATTATTAATCACAACACCAGACTGCCATTTATTTGTAAGCTGTTTTAGATCCTCAAAAACAATTCTGATAACTGCTGTATTTACAACACTTCTCTTTAACTTCACTTCTTGTTTGTCTGTCTGTTTGTCTGTCTGTCTGCTACAAATCTTGTAATCAAAATTTAATACACTTCTACTTATCCTATCGATCTGAAATTTTGCCAACTTGTGTAAAGTTGGAGACAATGCATGAATCAAATGTCAAAATAAATGATTTTAGAAATTAAAATTTTTTTTTAATAATAATATACGCTGTCTCTTATACACATCTAGATGTGTATAAGAGACAGGTGTAGCGAGATGCACGTGGCGTTGAGAGAAGCACGTGACGTAGAGATGCACGTGGCGTTGAGATGCACGTGGCGTTGAGATGCACGTACGTGGCACGGCGAGATGCACGTGGCGTTAAGAGAAGCACGTGGCGTAGAGTATTGCTATAGAGATGCACGTGACGCTGAGTTGTACGTAGCGTAGCGGGAAGCACGTGGAATAGCACGTGTTGTAGTAGTGGTTACAGGTGCAGAAACCACGAGGCTTCACGTGATATGCTGTGAAATGGAATTCGGTTGACAGGCGGAAGCTAATGATTTAGCACCTGAATGCAGTGTTTCCTAAGACGAGGTTATGCCGCCAATGGTTTTACGGTGCTTGCTACATGTCGTAAGGTTGAACATTAATATAGTTTGTAGCTAGATCCACTACACTAATTTCCAAACCGTCAATTTGGTTAGGATCGCAAAGAGAGGCCAAATCTTAGCGTTTAATTAACTACGTAGAAAGGAAGTGGACAAAGAAATAATAATAATAGATACATATAATGAAATGAAATCTGACAACGCTCTCAGGAATGTATTGTGAACAAATGATTTCTTTGCTAATTAGGTCAAGATCGGTTTGGATGTGAAAACTTTTGTGTGGAACACCTGCTAAAACTGAGCGTTTTATAAACGAAACAAAAAGAAAATTCTGATAAAACTCTCAGAAGCGTCATGAATCTTTATTAGGTCAAGATTGGTTTCAATTTGACGTAATTACCGTAGGAAAATATGCTAAAACTTGACATTTAACGATTCATGTGTATGCGATAAAAAAATCTGACAACGTTCGCAGTAGCGGTGTTGTGACTTAATTGCTCGNCTGTCTCTTATACACATCTAGATGTGTATAAGAGACAGCCCTAATGCACCACGTAACGCGGTATACAGTCACCCTAATGTACGTAACGCGGTCTCCAGTCACCCTAATGCACCACGAACGCGGTATACAGTCACCCTCATTGCCTAAAATATTTCCCAACATATCGCGTATCAAGCAACATTGAATCTTTTTCAATAGTTCGTACAGCAAGCAATATCAGATACATCGTTTTGGTCGGTCACCAAGATAGCATCACCGAGTTGGGGGTTTGAAATCAACCAATTTAAAAATTCTTGTCTGAATCAGCAAGGACGCCGAAAAGTTTAAACTAAGTGACACAACAAGCTGACATTATAATTAAATATTATATACGACACATCAACAATTAGTGCCAATATCATATAGAGTAAAATTTGTGCCGAGTTGAGATTTAAACAATTGGTTGCGCTTAGTTACAAAATCGCTTTATAATAAGTGACCATGTACATCAATAACGGGGGTAAGCAATGTGATACGAGGAAATGACGAGTAAATAGAAACAGAGGGAACGAGGGGCAACCAACAGAGAGTACGAGAGGCAACCAACAGAGGGAACGAGGGGCAACCAACAGAGGGAACGAGGGGCAACCAACAGAGGGNGCAGCAAGTGCAGTGCTGGTCTGCAGCAGCAAGTGCAGTGCAGGTCTGCAGCAGCAAGTGCAGTGCTGGTCTGCAGCAGCAAGTGCAGTGCAGGTCTGCAGCAGCAAGTGCAGTGCTGGTCTGCAGCAGCAAGTGCAGTGCAGGTCTGCAGCAGCAAGTGCAGTGCTGGTCTGCAGCAGCAAGTGCAGTGCAGGTCTGCAGCAGCAAGTGCAGTGCTGGTCTGCAGCAGCAAGTGCAGTGCAGGTCTGCAGCAGCAAGTGCAGTGCTGGTCTGCAGCAGCAAGTGCAGTGCAGGTCTGCAGCAGCAAGTGCAGTGCTGGTCTGCAGCAGCAAGTGCAGTGCAGGTCTGCAGCAGCAAGTGCAGTGCTGGTCTGCAGCAGCAAGTGCAGTGCAGGTCTGCAGCAGCAAGTGCAGTGCTGGTCTGCAGCAGCAAGTGCAGTGCAGGTCTGCAGCAGCAAGTGCAGTGCTGGTCTGCAGCAGCAAGTGCAGTGCAGGTCTGCAGCAGCAAGTGCAGTGCAGGTCTGCAGCAGCAAGTGCAGTGCTGGTCTGCAGCAGCAAGTGCAGTGCAGGTCTGCAGCAGCAAGTGCAGTGCTGGTCTAAGAACTAACGAAGCCACAGCACAAAAACTAACAAAAATTATTTCAAAAATAAATATTGAACTGTTTTTTTTATTCTCAAAGTGCGTCTCAATTCCACGGCCGAGCAATTATTTATTTATTATACAAATTATCGTATTATATTGAATGAATAACAGCGCGTTCGTATACTCACAGCTCAGCCGCTGTATTGCGTCAGAAAATCAATGGAAGTGCAGAATTTTCCTGCGTGGTCCTAAAAATCACGACGGAAATCGATACGTAAAGAGCGATGAGCAGCAACAAAAAACATTGCAGCAGCATTCATAGGAAGAACATTTAACATTACTTTTGAATAAAAATAACATCGGTGTCCACTAAAGGGTATTAGGTACGGTACATTGGTATGTATTAATCATATGGTACAAATCAATGAAATCGAGAGTTATTTATACGATTCCACAAATACATATTTTGCCTTGAAAAATTCGAAGGACCAAAAATTTTGGGACGAAATTTAAAAAACGATCAATTAACAATGAGTAGTTTACTAAGGACAGAATAGCCAACATATCAGCATAAAAACTTATATCGTTAGTCCGCTTAAATTCGTAAGTTCACCCAGAATTTAAAGGCATAAAAAACATATCTTAAATGGGAACGTTTCTGAGACGAGCTCCACGTGATCATCATGAATGTAAATAATATAGAGCAATGACGAGAATAATTGATTATTGGCACTATAATCAGCGGATGTTGCTGGTGCAAACAATGAATGCAAGTGAACAATAGTACAAACGTCATCAGCGACCTCTGCACTGGCAATGCACGTTTGTGTGTGCTTGTATTTTGTGTGTCCTTGTTTTTTGAGTGTGCTTGTATTTTGTGTGTGCTTGTGCTTTGTGTGTGCACTACGTTTGTATGCTGCGTACGTCTGCTTAGGTTTGGTGTACGCATTTGTTTGCGTACTGCATACATTTGTTTGCATAGTTTATACATTTGTTTGTGTAGTGTACACTACACGCTCATGTTTATTTGTGGTGCACGTGTGTGGTTGTTGTGTACGTTTGTGTCGTGTGTGTGTGTTTGTGTGGCGTATCTGTGTATGTGTGTTGGTGTTAGGAACCGACCGAGAGGGAAGGAGGGGGGTAGGGTGGGGAAGGGAGGGGGGCATGGAAGGGAGCGGAATAACGAAGAAAAAATACAGTGGAAAAGAAAGGACCGGTGGGGCGGGGTGGGCATTAATTGGGGAGGAGAGGGGGGAGGCAGTAGGGTACCGGAGCCCTGAAAGTAGGGCTTCTAAAACCCGTATGGTAGGAGGGGGAGGGGAGGAGGCAAGGAGGGGGGGAGAGAAGTAGAAAAGCGAGAAATAATCTGTAGATTACTATTAGAAATATTAATATTATAATAATAAATGAATAATAATAATTTATAATAATAATAATTATTATTTATTATTATTAGTGGCAGATAAACCATAGATAAGTAAAATGATTCAATACCAAGAAAAAAGTCGAAGTTTCTATGACAAATCAGCAGAGATTCATAACTATGGTAGGTACTATACAGACAAAAATGCCAACTGTAAAATTCAAGAAAACTGAGATTTGAAGAAGTGATGGAGGCTGGTGCAGTGATGGTGGCTGGTGCAGTGATGGAGGCTGGTGCAGTGATGGTGGCTGGTGCAGTGATGGAGGCTGGTGCAGTGATGGTGGCTGGTGCAGTGATG